AAAAAAAAAAAAAATGTTCATAATAAAAACTTTCAGGATACAGATACAAACAAAGCTGTGAAGTTTAGTGTGTGTGAGAGCTGCTAAAATACAGATGTATGACTCTCTTTGTGAAATCCGCCTTTAAATACAGTACCTAACATTATTTTAACTGAAATCCACAGAAAAATATTAATAAAGTGTGATGAAGTAAACGCCTCAAAGTGCATTTTGCATGCTTTCTTGCTATTCGACTGAAAAAAAAGTCAGTTTCTGCTGCTGTATCTTTAAGGCATCAGTATGCAAATGACCCTTAATCTGACTGGTTAACCTCCTCCTCTTTTCTTTCTCCAGATTTCGTGGCGGTTCCGGTCCAAATCTATGTGAATGTTAGCGTGAAAGTGGCGTCCAGCGAATACAAGTTCTACAACTGCGCCGCGGCCATCCAGAAAGCACAAAACACACCGTACGTCTGCTATTATCTGTGTATGTGTGTGCGCTTTATGCTGACACCACTGTGTGTATAATGAATACGAGCATCTGTAACGATGAGGTTTACTCAGAAATTGTAATGCATCACCCAAACTGCGATTGAATTTGCTTCTATAGAGACTTGCTTACGTTGCTCAGGGTTTTTTATTTTTTTATTTCCCCTCCAAGAGCAGGAAATTGCTTTCGTTTCTCATTCATTCATCACACATGAAAGTCGATCTCTCATCTTTTTTTTCTTTTTTTTTCCCCTCTCCTTGTGTTTTTTAAGAGCTCGGGGACATTGCTGATGAATGAGTATTATTTGAAGTGCGCTGGGAGTGTGTGTTTTTACTGCAAACATTTACACGCTGATGAAAAATGTAAGTGTATCCAAAATAAAAAAAAAAATCTGTGCGCAGATGCACCTCGTGTGTGAGCAGCTCTTGGGGATGTCAGTGGAACGTCGCCGCACACACCTGCACGGACCTGAGCGACGCTGAAACCGGAACTAATATCATCAAGCAGAGACAGGTGATGCAGAATGATGCCACTTCCATATGGAGACATGCTGGACTGTATGTGCTGTTATTTCCTAAATGATGTTTAACAGAGCACGGAATTTTTCACAGTATTTCCTATAATATTTTTTCTTCTGGAGAAAGTCTTGTTTCTTTTATTTCAGCTAAAATAAAATCAGTTTAATATTTTTTTAAAACCATTTTAAGGTTAATATTATTAGCCCCCTTAAGCTATATTTTTATGAAGTTTTACCCTAATTTAGCCTTTAAATTGTACATTCTACATTACCTTGTACATTTAGATTGTATGAATATACATTAATCGCATCCAGCATATAGGTTTGTATATAAATATATCTGAAAAATTATATATAAATGTACTATCTAGTAAACATTTTTGTTTAATATAGTTTTGTTTTTATGTATAAGTGTGTATTAAATATACAAAATGAAAATAAATTAATTAAAATAAAAATTATGTGTTTATTTTTTACCGATATGTCACATTAAAAACAAAATTTTAGTTCTGATCATTTTTCTTACCCTTCATATTTATTTATTGGTTTGTTTGTTTATTTATTTATTTTTATACAAATATTTAAATTTCTTTAAGTATTTTTTTAAAAAGGTATACATAAAAAGTAAATAAATTAAGTAAAAAATGTTTACTTATTTATTTTTATTTATTTCACACATATATTACATTCAAATCAAACTTTTATTATGTATTATAATAAAAGCTATACATTATTGCCCAGAACCTAATATTCATTTATTTATTTATTTATTTTTATACATATAATACCTAATTTCTTTAAGTATTTTAATAAAGCTATACATAATTAAAAATGAATAAATTAATTTTAAAAAAAGCATTTATTTATTTATTTCACACATTTATAACGTTAAAAACAAACTTCTACTTTGTATTTTAATAAAAGCTATGCATTATTAAAAAACATTTATTTGAAAAAATTTTCTATTTTCTATTTTGTTTAAGTATTTTTAATAAAGCTATAAATAACTTAAAAATGAATAAAATAAGCCCAGCTTAATATTTGCTTATTTTTGTGCTTAATATTTGCTTATTTTTTATACATAAATAATATTTAATTTCTTTAAGTGTATTTTTAATAAAGCTATACATAATAAAAATAATAATTAAACAAAATATTTATTTATTAATTTATTTATTTCACACATATATTACATTAAAACAAACTTTTATTTTGGTTGTGATAATTTTTTTTGCCCAGTACCTAATATTTATTTATTTATTTATTTATTTGTTCATTTATTTATTTATGTTTATACGTATACTATTTAAATTTCTTTAAGTATTTTAAAAATGCTATACATAATAATAAAATGAATAAAACATTTTTTGTTTGTTTATATATTTCACAGATATATTACATTAAAAACAAACTTTTATTTTGGTTGTGATTATATGCCTAGCAATGTTCATTTTTGTACATATAATAATTACATTTCCTAATGAATTACTTAAAAATATAGATTTATTTATTTATTTATTTATTTCACCGATATATTACATTAAAAACAAACTTTTATTTTGGTTCTGATCATTTTTTTGCCCAGCACTTAATATATATACATTTCTTTCTTTTTTTTTTTTTTTAACAAAGCTATACATGATAAAAACATTAAGTAATTAATTATATAATCAATTTATATTTAATTATTTCACAGATATATTACATTAAAACAAACTTTTACTTTGGTTGTGATAACTTTTTTGCCCAGCACTTCATATTTATTTTTTTCATATATATTTTAATTTCTTTAGCTATTCATTTTTAATAAAGCTAAAAGGCTGATGTTAGAGACACATTTAAATACGTTCAGTGTTACTTTTGGAGTATCTATGCATTGATATTAATATGGATTTCACGTACTCGGGCAATTAAATACTCATTATTTAAATTACTTTTCAGACAAAGCTATTAGAAAAGTCATTTAAATACAATATTAATGATGTAATTAGTATATCATGACTTTTTCAAAATAGCTGACCCAACACCCATTTCTCCACATATGAAATACTAAGAATAAAATGCTGTAAATATGTCATTTATGAATGCATTTGATCCCATTTCCCTCCAACAGTCCAGTGTTTTTAATAGGAATGAGAGTAAAAAACATAAAACATTCAACAGTACATGTTTTAGCAAAGTCTTACAGACGGAAGAAGCAAAAAAACAAAGCCATCATGCATGTATGAAGTAAACATTTCCGAAAGCATAAAGCTGAATATGGATACCCGGAGCCAGCAGTTTCAGAAATGTCTTTACTCTGAGTGTATTTTGCGATGAAATGGACACAAAGTCGATGTCTTTCCTCAGAAAGTTAAATGCAGAATCAGCACAAGCACAAACAGAAAAACGCATTGAAAGAAATGTATTATGGGTAATTATGCAATTAGAGAGCGTGGCCAGTGTCAGCGAGGATGTATTAGATCTCAGCTGTAAATAAACATGAGCGTCATCGCGGTTAATGAGTTTTTCAGTTTCAGTGGATGTTCACTGATTAATGATGGGCTGTAAATGAAGAACGACTCAGATTGTGTTGATTAAATGTGAGTTCTCCGTCTTCTCTGTGTCTGCAGAATAAAAGCTGCCCGCGCTTCGAGAATCCCGATCCCGTCCTCATCCCGGTCGGATATAAAACACGGATCAGTTTCGAAGGCATTAATTTGGACCCGTATAAGGTGAGATTTATGTCCTGTAGCAAATGTTATGATTCAATGACTCAAGAGATGCAGCTTAGAAATGAAATTATCTAAAGAAAACATGTTAAAATAAGTACAATTCTATTAAAGAATACATTTATTTATAGTGCTTGTTATAAATATTCATAATTTCGGAGATTCAGCACGTTCAGCGATCAGCCTGTCATATTGAGCAGAGCAAAGACGGTTGACGTTCCGCCACAAGATGGCGACAGAGACTGCATAATAAGTCCTTATGGGTAGAGAAACTCAGCATATGTTGAATTCATCCTAAGACATTTTAAGCCGATCTTCCTCTCTTGTATGTTGTAGTGCTGTATTTATACCATAATAATCTGCTAGTGTTTGCTTTGCTTTGGCTTTGTCAGGGTTAATTATTGTAATCTCCTGATTGCAATAGAGAAATCCTGGGAAATCTCTGTAGACTGATGGTATATCATGCTCTTATTTATATGAACTTAATTATCAATATATTATATAATTAATTAATTCATATTTTAAAATTATTAAATATTATAATAAATCTAAAAATAACACAATTGTACAGAATAGCAATAAAATGTAATGTTGCATGTTTAATAATATCTGCATATTAACATCCACTGAGAAAAGTTAACAACTTAAAGTAGTTCAGTTTTATTTTATTATACAAATTCAAACTTATTCTACAAAACAGTATTGTTTTAATTTATGTAGCAAAATCACACGATGTATATTGTTTTGTATTTAAATAAGTAATCTCTGTTCTTAATATATAATTACAAATATTAAATTATTATTATTTTGATTTTATAAAAATGCACAAAATAAATAAATATATTATTAAAATATTTTTTTCTATTTAAATTGAAATAGGTAATTTTTCCACTTTTAACTATAAATTTAAAAATTACATAGTATATAATTATTAATTGCAATTAATATTAATGATTTTACAAAAACTGGTCAGAATAAATAAATATACTATTAAATTATTACAATTAAAATGTTATTTTAATTTAAATAAAAATAAGTAATCTCTTTACTTTTAACTATATACTGTATAAATACAAATAATATATATTTATTAATTCTATTAAATATTTTAGATTTTTTTTAAAATGTACAGAATAAATCAATATATTATATTATTAAGATTTAACATTTTATTTTAATAATATTTAAATATATAATAATATAATATTTTATAATAATAGTTCAATTTAACTAGGTAATTTCTTTACTTTTAACTATATACCGTATAATTACAAATAATTTATAATTATTCATTCCATTAACTATTTATGATTTTTCAAAAATAAATCAATATATTCAATTATTAATGTTTAACATTTAATTGTAACAATAATAGTTAAATAATATAAAATAATATATAATAACATTTAAATTTAACTAGGTAATCTTTTCACTTTTACTATATATTGTATAATTTTAAATAATATATAATTATTAATTAAACATTAAATATTTATGATTTTACCAAAAAAAAACTGAGAATAAATAAATATATTATTAAATTATTGATAAATAATTAATAAAATTAACAAACAGATCTTTCAAATTAAGTTTCTTCAAGGTCTTTTATTAGTACAAAGAAGCTTCTTTTATATAATCAGGTGGATTAAAGTTAGGCTTAACTTGTTAAATTAACTACATAAGCGGTAACTCAAGGTCACAGGATTATAGTTCAGAAATATCCTTGAATAATTATATTTTGCATTACATTTCTATTGTTTTCAGTATGATAAATGTGATACAAAAATACAGATTTTCCCTTTAATAATTTCTATCTGCGTTTGACTCTTTCCATCATTTTCTGTTTTCCTGTTTTGTTGTTGTTGTTGTTGTATTTTTTTCTGATATGAATCATTTTTGTGCTTCTGCAGGGTCGTGATTTCACCATCGGGACCGAGTTGATGAGGGGTGAGGAAGACGTCAACACAGAATCAGGCCCTTTCTACTCTTTCAGCGGATACATGGTGCGTTTCACACACAGTTAAAGGGACAGTTCACCCCAAAATGAACATAAACCTTAAATAACTTCTTTATTCTGTTGAACACAAAAGAAGATATTTTAAAGAAAGTTAGAAAGAAACAGCCATTGACATTGATAGTAAAAAAAAAAAAAAATTTATATGGAGAAGTCAGTGGCTACCGGCTTCCAACATTCTACAGATTATCTTCTTTTATGTTCAATGGGTAAAAAAATCAAGCACATTTATACCCTACTTTTTTAACATAGACATAAAAATGACGTTGCACTTGAATGATCTTCAATGGTTTTTGTCGTTTTAAAGGTGACAGATGTCAGATTGTAGTTCGAAAAGGGAAATAAAACTGCACTATTATCTTTATGAAAATATTAAAACAAATATATATTTGATTATATTATATTTACAAAACCTGTTTAAGCATAAGATTGACCGAAAATCAAAGCTTTGACATTATATTCCATATTTGAAATTGAAAAAGAGCTTTCAGTAAAATCAGTTTAGCTGCAGTACCAAACATACAGTTTCCATTGATGACCATACAAGAACGTACTTACCCCCTATGTTTTAAGGGAATACTAATCTTATTTTGTTCAAACTTTTGACAGTATTTGTAAAATAGTCGTCAAATTCTAAAGTATTATGAGATATTTGGTGATATTTTGATTGAATTTATCCTCTTAAAAACAATTTACATGTGGATTGCTGTAGCAAAGTAATGCTTTAACACTCTGGCGAGTATATGTTTGTTTTTAAGTGAATAAATAACCATTGCTCAGTATTATCTATCAAAAATTACTCACCAGAAATGGATACTGGAAATGTTAAGCTTTTAAGTGATATGTAGTTTGTCATGATTCCTTTAGGTATAGACTAAAATATTTTGCTTTAAAAATGTAACCGTAAATGACTCCACAGGTTGTAAATGGATAGTAAATGAGTTTTAATCAAATCCACCTCCTACGTAACCAAAAAAACTAAAAACACTGGTTAAATATGTATTTAAAATTCTTAGACCTTTCCAACGATATATAGTTTGTCATGATTAGATTAGGATTTAATTGCCAAAAAGGGGATGTAAACTTTTGGCAGTGAAGGGGTTAAAAGTGCAAGCTGAGTAAATTATTTTTGATGAACCGGTTCTTTAACTCAGACTGTACCATTTGTGTACTTTAAATCTGTTCATATAAAAACACCTGCCAAGCAATTACCAACAGAAAAGGTCTCTGACCCAAACTGCAGTGTCTGTTTTTGGGAGTTTGTGATTCTAGCGCCCCCTGTTGGTGGTTGAGCTCAGAGCAGAAATCGCCTGCTTTTCTGACTGCCTGTGGCCACAGAGAGGAATATTTGTATCTGAGTTGATGCTTGTGTCCAGATGACTCACTCTGTGCTCCGTCTCTTCCAGTTCTCCTTCGATAAAGCTCACGAAACCAGCGTTCTGTTCCACGTACGGGACAAACACACGGGCAAGAAGATCGACAGCAGCCTTAATGGTAAACAGTCACTCGCCTTAAAGGGACAGTTCACTGAAAGACTTGTATGCTGTAAAGTCCACATGCAATCAAAACTAAGCATATTGATTTTGTTAGCTTACATTGCTAGTTTTGTGGTGAACAAGTCATCTGCACATGTCATCAAGAGAAAAAAAAAAACAATGTGTCTGCACTTGTAATCTTTAATTGAAATCTGAAAATGCCCTTCCTCTTTGTTTTCAGTTCAATTCTCAGATTAGGTCTGTCTAAGGCAGGGGTCACCAATCTCGGTCCTGGAGGGCCAGTGTCCCTGCAGGATTTAGCTCCAACTTGCTTTTACACACCTGCCTGGATGTTTCAAGTATACCTAGTATGACCTTGATTAGCTTGTTCAGGTGTTTTTGATTAGGGTTGGAGCTAAAATCTGCAGGAAACCGAAAATGACAAAATGTAAATGTAAGGTATTGGGTGTGGCTAACATACTTAAACCACACCCCTTCAACTGTCAGTTTTGACAACAGACAGAAATGATAAAAAGCAGTCTCTTGGGTTGTAATAACCTTTTTCTTATTTCTGAATAAAATGCCTTCTTTACTACATCCAATCAGCTCGCAGTAAAAAAGCAAGCCAGGCCTGCTGTTTTCTTATTTTATATTCCGTTTCTCTCAGAACTGCGTCTCAATACGAAACAAAATAAGTAAACGGTAGCAGCTTCCAGTTCATGCGGACTTTAATATAATGCAAATAATGCCTTTTTGTGTAGTAGGGGAAAAAAACACACATTTAAGTTATTTAAAAAAAATACCATAGGTGCCATCATTATTTTCTATAATGTAATCTGTTGTAAAATGCAACACAACTGGGGATAAAAGATTATTCTTGATTAAATGCATTCAAAAGAAAAGTTTGTTTTGACATTATGTATTTATGTGTATTAGGTATATTTATATTTTTATATATTTATATGTGTTTATATTTATGTACAGTATATGGGATACACAGACATACATAGATACAATTCAATACAAAACAATTTTGTTACATAGATCTTTAAATTTATATATAATTTATGTCATATCTAAATATAAATAAACATTTTCTAAACTATATGCATGCGTGCGTGTGTGCGTGCGTGCATGCGTGCGTGTGTGTGTGTGTGTGTTTTAAGAATTATTTGCCACTGTTTATTTTTTTTCCCCAATTTCTGTTTAATGAAGAGAAGAATTTGTCAACACATTTCTAAACATAATAGTTTTAATAACTCATCTCTAATAACTGATTTATTTTATCTTTGTCATAATGACAGTAAATAATATTTTACTTGATATTTTTCAAGACACTTCTATACAGCTTAAAGTGACATTTAAAGGCTTAACTAGGGTAATTAGGTTAACTAGCCAGGTAAGGGTAATTAGGCAAGTCTATAACGATGGTTTGTTCTGTAGACTATCGAAAAAAATATAGCTTAATGGGGCTAATAATTTTGACCTTAAAATGGTAGACAAAAAAATTCTAAACTGTTTTTATTCTTGCTGAAATAAATCAAATCAGACTTTCTCCAGAAGAAAAAATATTATCAGACATACTGTGAAAATTTCCTTGCTCTGTTAAACATCATTTGGGAAATATTTAAAAAAGAAAAAAAATCTAAGCGGGGCTAATAATTCTGACTTCAACTGTACATAATAAATATACACAGTATACACATATATTTTGTCAAAACAAACCTTTGTTTTGGATTGTTTTGGATGGATTAATCATGATTTTTTTTCTGAATATTTGTAATTACTTGATTTTGGTCTGTGCAGTTTATCAAAATTTAATTACGGTTTCAACGTTTTATCTCGATTAGTTTTTTTTTTTCATAATCATTGGAGGCCAAAATCAAAACCGTAATTAAATTTTGATTAATAAGCATAGCCCTAAATCAGGTAATTACAAATATTCCCAAATATTAAAGTTTTATCTTAATAACACAGTTTAGTTTTTGTCATAGTTAGCTTTCCTTTTAAAACATGTCTGTTTAGTTTTGATCAGTTATTTCAGTTTTACTTTCACTTATTTACACTACAAAAAGTAACGACAACTAAATATTTTGTTACTTTAACTCTTTTAAATCAGCTGATCAGGCTTCAGCCACTTCATTTTGTTTTCATACAAAGGTTAACTTAATATTTTGGATGATATAAGTTGGGATGACTAGAAAAGTTGTCAATATTTGTTTTGCAGTGCAGTTTACTAAGTTAAACTAAATAGTGGTAGCTAGTTTTTTTTGTTTTTTATTTACATATATTTTACATACAGTTGAAGTCAGAATTATAATTATTAGCCTCCCTGAATTATTACACCCGTACTATACACACCTGTATATTTTTTTCCCAATTTCTGTTTATCGGGGAGAAGATTTTCAACACATTTCTAATTATAATAGTTTTAATAACTCATCTCTAATAACTGATTTATTTTATCTTGGTCATGATGATAGTAAATAATATTTGACTAGATATTATTCAGGATACAAGTATTCAGCTTAAAGTGACAATCAAAAATAAATATTTCTTAAAGAGGCTAATAATATTGACCTTAATATGGTTTAAAAACTTAAAAACTGCTTTTCTTCTAGCTAAAATAAAAACAAATAAGATTTTCTCCAGAAGAAAAACTGTTATAGGAAATACTGTGAAAAATTTCTTGCTCTGTTCAACATAATTTAGGAAATATTTGAAAAATGAACAAAAATTCATAGGAGGGTGAATAATTTTGACTTCAACTGTATATATGACGCATATCAAGTAGCAAAAACATTCCTCGGTCTGGTTTTGACAGTGTTTGTTGTCTCTCTGCTGTGTTTCAGTGACTCTCTACAACTGTTCTCTGGGTCGTGAAGACTGCAGCTTGTGTAAAAACGCAGACCCCAAATACCAGTGTGTGTGGTGCCGTCAGACCAGCGCGTGTGTGTACGAGCAGCTCTGTGCCTCCAGAGAGTCCGTCGAGTGTCCCGACCCGCAGATCACAGACGTGAGTCTCTCAATACACCAACGCTCAAAACACACCTCACAAACGTCAGACCGAGACCTTTCACATTTTTACTGAACACACGAGAGTACAAGTCAATAGAAAGATCCGATCTGTTCAGGTGACTGACAGGAGTACGGAAAACATTTATTTAATTTGCTGTTTCCCAGTACTGGGTTGCGGCTGGAAAGGCATCCGCTGTGTAAAACATATGCTGTAATAGTTGACGGTTCATTCCGCTGTGATGACCACAGATAAATAAGGGATTGAGCCGAAGAAAAAATGAATGAATGTTGTTTCCCATATATAAATCTGAGACATGGAAATATATGCAAGTTACATAAATAGCATAGAAGTTCATGTTTGGATTTCACATATGAAAAATATTAAAATATGCAAAATATTTCAAAAATTGCAGTTTATAACCATTGAAATCACAAATATGTATATTCATTAATTTGTTTTCCTTCGGCTTAGTCCCTTTATTCATCAGGGATTGCCACAGGAGAATGAACCGCCAACTATTCTAGCATATGTTTTACACAGCGAATGCCCTTTCCAGCTGCAACCCAGTACAGGGAAACACCCATACACACTTATTCACACACATACACTACGGCCAATTTCTTTCACTTATTTTCTTTTCGGTTTAGTCACATTATTAACCAGTGGGTCACCACAGCGGAATGAACCGCCAACTTATCTAGCATCTGTTTTATGCAGCAGATGCCCTTCCAGCTGCAACTTATCACTGGGAAACACCCATACACTTTCATTCACACGCATACACTACGGACAATTTCATTCATAGATTTTCAGTTCGGCTTAGTCCTTTTATTAATCTGGGGTCGCCACAGCGGAATGAACCACCAACTATTTTAACATATGTTTTACACAGCGAATGCCCTTCCAGCTGCAACCCATCACTTGAAAACACCCATACACTCTCATTCACACACATACTCTACAGACTATTTAGCTTACTCAATTCACCTACAGCGCTTGTCTTTGGACTTGTGGTGGAAACCGGAGCACCCGGAGGGAACCCACGCCAACACTGGGAGAACATGCAAACTCTACACAGAAATGCCAACTGACACAACCGGGACTCGAATCGTCAGCCTTCTTGCTGTGAAGTGACAGTGCTAAACACTGAGCCACCGTGTCGCCCATAATCAAATATGCATGTCCACATAAATTCATGTATGGCCGTATATATGAAGACGTATATAAAATTATACCTAATATATGTAAATGTTTGTAATTCCAATTGAATGGGAAAAAATTGTATATGTAAATGACTAGTTTGCAATATTTTGAAATATACACCACCTGACAAAAAGTTTGTCGTCAATCCCAGTTGTAAGAGCAACTCATAATAACTTGACTTCTAGTTGATCATTTGGAAAAGTGGCAGAAGGTCGATTTTTCGGATGAATCATCTGTTGAACATCCCAACCACCACAAATACTGCAGAAGACCTACTGGAACCCGTATGCACCAAAGATTCACACAGAAATAAGTTTGGTGAATGTAAAATCATGGATTGGGGTTACATTCAGTATGGGGGCGTGTGAGAGATCTGCAGAGCGGATGATCAACATCAACAGCCTGAGGTATCAAGACATTTGTGCTGCCCATTACTTCAGGGTGCTTCAGGATTGGCCAGCCCAGTTGAACAGACATGAACATAATTGAGCATGTTGGGGGGTAAGATATAGGAGGATGCATTGAAGATGAATTCAAAGAGATTCAAGTTGCATACACTGTACAAAAATGCTGGGTTCCACACAATTGATATGTGGACACCTTAATAAGTGGATTGAACATAAAAACAGGAAAGTTGTCCTCCCCAAAAAACTCAAGTATTGTGTCAGCTTATTTTATGTAAGTAGTTGAACAAACAGTAAACAACATTTTGATGATATTTTTCTATATATGTGAAATCCAAGTCTGAACTTGTATGTCATTTATGTAATTTGCATACATCGCCATATATCATATTTCTGTATGCTGTATGCTTGCTGGAATGTGTTTCAGATCACACCGAGATTCGGGCCCCTGAAGGGGGGAATCGCCGTCACTATTAAAGGCTCAAATTTGGGCATTCAGAAAGACGACATTAAAAACATCACAGTGGCCGGAGTCAACTGCAGACATCTGCGGGAGCGATATTCCGTCTCAACCAGGTAATCCAATTGACTGAGAGCATCCTTTAATTTTAATTGTGGCAATTCTGTGACTGTCGATTTAAATTCAAATAAGATTGTTCAAAAGAGGGCGGAGCTACTAATGCCTGTGTGTCAGCATAGTGGCAGATTCAAAAACAGGGCTAACTTTCTATGCTAATGAGGGAGAGATGGTCACTAGTGGGCGGGGCTTTCCCCCTCTGATGACACGTACAAAGGGAGAATGTCAATTAAAGTGTTTCTGCAGCCTGTTTTTATCAAGTGTGATTACAACAAATCAAATTGATCAATTTTGACCATTAGCAGCTGGTTATATTCACACACTTTCACCACACAACTGTTTAAACCCCTATTAAAAGGGATTTTTGCATAATAGGTCCCCTTGTGAGGTAAACGAACAGCAGATTTTCATTTCAGACTGAACCATCTCTTTAACGAACCCCAAACCCTCATTCATTACACTCGTGTCCAATAAAACTGATCTTCTGTCCTTATAGTCTGCGCATCAGCCTCCTCAGAGCTGCTTTACCATTCTATAAATGATCTCCGAGCTCAAAAGACATTGCGCATTTTAGTGAAAACGAATTGGATTCGTGCATTTTAGCGAAACGAATTGGATTCCCACATTTTTCCGTAAAATAATTGGATTTGCGAAAACAAATTGGATTAGCGCAATTTAGCGAAAACAAATTGGATTTACGTATTTTAGTGAAAACTAAATGGATTCCCACATTTCTCCATAAAATAATTGCATTTGCGCATTTTAGGGAAAACGAATTGGATTCCCACATTTTTCCGTAAACTAATTGGATTTGCGAAAACAAATTGGATTAGCGCCATTTAGTAAAAACTAATTAGATTTGCATATTTTAGTGAAAACTAATTGGATTCCCACATTTTTCCATAAAATAATTGGATTTGCGCATTTTAGTGAAAACGAATTGGATTCCCACATTTTTCCGTAAACTTATTGGATTTGCGCATTTTAGCGAAAACGAATTGGATTCCCACATTTTTCTGTAAACTAATTGAATTTGCGCATTTTAGTGAAAACGAATTGGATTCCCACATTTTTCCGTAAACTAATTGGATTTGCGCATTTTAGCGAAAACGAATTGGATTCCCACATTTTTCTGTAAACCAATTGAATTTGCGCATTTTAGTGAAAACGAATTGGATTCCCACATTTTTCCGTAAACTAATTGGATTTGCGCAATTTAGCGAAAACAAATTGGATTTGCACATATTAGCAAAAGAAAATTGGATTTGTGCATTTTAGCGAAAACTAATTGGATTTGCGCATTTTAGTGAATCCATTTTAGTGGAAACAAATTAATTAATTGAATTAGAAAATTGATTTTAGTTTTTCTTTTAAAACACGTCTATGTAGTTTTTATCACTTTTACTTGTTAACACTAAAAAAAGACAAAAAGTAATGACAACTAAATCTTTTATGCTACTTTAACTCATTAAAATCAATTATCACCAATGGTTCACCACTACCCTTGTAAAAGTGATTTTTGCACAATAGGTGCCCTTTAAATACAGTAGTGAAGTAAAAATACAAGTAAACGAACAGCAGATTTTCATTTCAGACTAAACCGTTTCTTTAACAAACCCTAAACCCTCATTCATTACACTCGTGTCCAATAAAACCGATCTTCTGTCCTCATAATCTGCGCATCAGCCTCCTCGGAGCTGCTTTACCATTCTGCAAACGATCTCCGAGCTCAAAAGACGCTTTCCAAAGCTGTTAGCAGGCAGACAAACACTCGCTGAAGCTGAACGCAGATAACGGCTGATGGAGAATCACTGACGCAGCCAAGCCTGACACCCCGGCCTGCGAAGAAAAAAACACACGCCGGCGTACAAATCTAGCCTTGTTCTACAAGAGCCAGAAAGCACAGGCCGACTGGAATGCGCTTTAATATTTAACGCGCATTACTGAGCCTCCGGCGCAACATCTGAAGACATTATTTGGATCATTCTTGGGGGCATTTTTTTTACACGTTCGAATTCCGACTAATTATTTTTTAATCAAGCCTCGAATGAACCAGATTTCTTAAAACGGGACGATCTCTGGAAAATCAGGCCATTGGGTAGCAGAGAGATCTGAACATTCAATTCATTCAATAGGATGACTTTATGAAGATGTATAATCAGAGTTGTAAAGTATTCATTCATAAATTAAAAATCTTTTTAGATATACATCTCACTTAATTTACTTTTATTTTCATGATTCAGATGATCATTTAACCATTTCGTATGTATTGCTAATTATAAACTCTGCTTGTATTTATTAATAATAAATACAGTTGAAGTCAAAATTATTCGCCCCACTGTTTATTTTTTTTCCCCAATTTTTGTTTAACGGAGAGAAGATGTTTTTTCAACACATTTCTAAACATAATAGTTGTAATAACTCATTTCTAATAACTGATTTATTTTATATTTGCCATTATGACAGTAAATAATATTTGACTAGATATTTTCCAAGACACTTCTATACAGCTTAAAGTGACATTTAAAGGCTTAACTAGGTTAATTAGGTTAACTAGGCAGGTTAGGGTAATTAGGCAAGTTATTGTATAACAATGGTTTGTTCTGTAGACTATTGAAAAAAATATAGCTTAAAAAGGGGCTAATAATATTGACCTTAAAAAAAAGAATATATATATATATATATATATATATGTTTATTTATGTATTTATTTATTTAAAACTGATTTTATTCTAGCTGAATTAAAACAAATAAGACTTTCTCCAGAGGAAAATATATTATCAGACATACTGTAAAAAAATTCCTTGCTCTGTTAAACATCTTTTGGGAAATATTTAAAAAAGAGAAAAAAAATTAAAAGAGGGACTAATAATTCTGACTTCAACAGTATATATGCAAATTACGTCATATTTTAGTTACCAAATACATTTTTTTCAAATGGGTTTTTTCAATAGTTAAACATTTTTGTTTATAATATGTATGTGGTCATGTTATATAATTTAATAATTGTATTTTATTTTGATTATTTAGATGAATAAATCTTTGAAGATATTTATCTTTCTAATTTTACTTTTATTTTTATAATTAGCATTATCATTAAACCATTGTGTATGTATTATAAATTCTAAGATCAGCTTGTATTTATTATTAATATATATGCAAATGACATCATATTTTAGTTACCAAATTCTTTATTTTCAAATCAGTTTTTTCAATAATTAATTAAACACTTTTATTTCGAATATATATATATATATATATATATATATATATATATATATATATATATATATATATATATATATATATATATATATATATATATATATATATATATATATATATATATATATATATATATATATATATATATATATATATATATATATATATATATATATATATATATATATATATATATATATATATATATATATATATATATATATATATATATATATATATATATATATATATATATATATATATATATATATATATATATATATATATATATATATATATATATATATATATATATATATATATATATATATATATATATATATATATATATATATATATATATATATATATATATATATATATATAT